ACAACATTAAGGAAAAGAAAACAAACGTGTTCAATATCCACTGAGAATAAAAACTAACTTGGAGAAGTAATTTCTCTTTGATACAGGAGAGTTCAAAATGGGCCTTTGGCCAGAGAGACAATACAAGAATTTGATGTTTGCTTTGCATGTGTCTGCCTATAGTTTTACCCCAGCACCACATATGGCCAATCTAGAATTGCAAAGAGTAACTCTAAACCACAAAATAGCCCACAAAAGTGAAAAATATAAGACTGTTCCTCAATCATTGGTGCTCTTTATATATTTGTGAATTTTTTTCATACTACCCACTTCCCCCATTTATTTATTTATTTTATTTATTTATATATGTGTGTGTGTGTGTGTGTGTGTGTGTGTGTGTGTGTGTGTGTGTGTGTGTGTGTTATAGCCGGCAATACTCAGAGGTTACTCCTGGTTCTGCACTCATGAATTACTTTTGTGGTGGTCCACGGGGTCACTATATAGGATACAGAGGAATGAGTCAGTTCAGCTTCATGTAAGGCAAATACCCTACCTGCTGTACTATTACTCTGCCCCACCCTTTCCAATTTTTCTAAGTATCCTTTGCTCTTAGACCCAGAAAAATACCTGGTACCCATATATATCAGTCACTAATACTAGTTTTCAGTTTTTATTGTTTATTCCTTCCAATTTCAATAAATGGGACTAAGAACATTTACAAATATGCTTCTTAACTATAGTGATTAGATTTTTGTCATCCATTTGAAATTAACTTTTAATATCAAACTATAGTTTCTGATAATGATGTTCACTCATAATTAACTATATGTAGCTTTTGCTTTACCTGGTCCTTCTATATAGCATTTAAAAAAACACACATCTGAGGGTATTTTTTTCTACATTTATTTTTAAAATTTTCTATCTATAACTTTCACATGGGCTATAGTTCTAGTAGCAGTGCTACATTGTTTGATTAAAGTTATTTTATGCAATATTTGTGAAAACAATAAAATCATGTCCCTTTTAATTTTCTTGTCCTCAGGAAATTTACTAAATCTAAAAATTGGCAACTTTTTTCTTTCTTAAATAAAAGATAAAATAAAATTCACTTAGAATTGCTCAAGTAGAGGACATATGGAAAAACGTTCAGAACTCTTTTTCACCTACTATTCCTACTTTACTTTATTTCTGTTCCATATTGATTCAGTATCACTGAAAAATATTTTCAGGGGCTGGAGAGATAGGACAGTGGGTAGGACTCTTGCCTTGCATATGGACAACCTGAGTTAATTCCTAGCATCCCAAACAGTTGCCCAAGCCCAGTAGAAGTGATCCCTGAGTACAGAGCTCAAAGTAAATCCTGAACACCTTCAGGTTTGGCCCTCAAAACAAACAAACAAAAACTATTGTCATAGTAATACATTACTCTGTCAAAAATTCCAATCATATTTATATTTTTAGTCTCTCTACATTTGAGTTTAGTTTTATTCTAGTTGTTGAGGTTTATCTTTTTGATTCTTCATGTTTTACATTTTATTTGGAGAGAAAATATTGGAGATATACATGCTATTTTATTCCAATTTATAAATTTCTATTTTCATTTGCTAGTATCTTTTCAAGTGCAAAAGATTAATTTTAGTTTACTTCAATTCATGATTCACTTATTTTTATTTTCTTAAACAATGAAAATTGAAAGCTAGAAATTTTACTCTGAACATAGCTTTGGTTATATCGATTGGGACTTTTTTAACCAACTAGAAAACAGTTTATATGTCCTTTATGAGCAAATATTCACTTATTTAAGTTTAATAACATATTTTATTTATGGTATCATTATTTACTTATGTTATAATTACTAAAGCTTGCTAAGGATGTTTTATATAACTGCTGTTTTTAAAAAGTAATTTATAATTTATTTTGGCCTAAGATTTAGACTTAAAAATTTAACAATTAATTTAACATTTATAAATTAAATCTGTTTTCAATCTATTTTAGATTTAAAATAATAAAATTATTTCTATTTTCATTAAATAAAATTTAAATTTTAATATATACTATTTCTATTTTCAGTTAATAAAATTTAAAGTTTAACATGTACTATTAAACATACTATTCAACTAACTCATTAATTCCACTGTAATTTTTCTTACTTAAAATATTGAAACTCAGAGATGGTTTGAACTCTTCGATACTGATTTCTAATTATTATAATTTTATAATAATCTTTATACTTGTAAATATTGTGTTCTGTATATTTCAACATCATATTATTTGAATCCGCAATTGATAATTATTTTCTTAGATTAATTTTTACAGCCAACCATCTTTTGTACTGATATTGAAACTTCTACACCTGCTGAATTTGCTATGTATGGGGCATGTCTGATATGGCAAGGACAATGAAGATTGATTTCAGTTATCGAGATGCACTAAAGTTATATTATGTTATTGATTCCTCCACCAAATCTAAGTTGTGTCATTATAGCTGTAGAGGTAGCTGTTTTCATGCTTGAATAATCAGAATACATTCAACAAAAAGATTCAAAAATACCGAACTAGGAGCAATTGCAACTAAAAGTAAATTGGAAATGTATGAGTTTGTTTTCTTTATGTGAAAAGCATGGAAATGAGGCCCAAGTCAGTATATAGTGTGTCCAACATGGCATCTTCCAAGAGAGGGAATCAAACATTTTTGACCTTCCAAGGAAAGCCATGAACACATGCATTAACTAAAGACACAACTGCAGATTCAAACATTTTATGTGATACAGATGATCTGTTGCTTTAATTTTTAACTATCAATGAAGCAGAGATAGAGCAAGTACTATTACATTCAACAGGGAACTGTAATTTTGCTGATCAATTTGCCCAAGCCAATACCCTGCCAAAAGCCACAAACATAAATTTCATAAAACATGAATTTCAACAATTTCTAAGTCATAAATATTATATTACATGCTCATATGCTATATATGGCATATGTAACATATAATATGAATATGGTCTTTGGTTTATCTGTATACACTAAGTATTATGAAAATATTTTGAAGTCAAAAATATTAATCTTTACTTTGAATAATAAAACAATTTCTCATGCTTTTTTAGTAATCATATTCTCTTTTTGAATTAATTCTACAAAGAGAACTTCTGCCGTTCAATGTTCCATACTTAAAAGCACTAATGGCTAAATACACTTTCTCCCATTATTTTTCTCTCATGCACTAGAGGAAAAGCAAACAGTTTAGCAGCATTTTACTGCAGTTCTGCCAAAAAAAGTACTAAATGTAAATTTAAAGTATGGGTGAATAATGATATATTTCACCTTATTTTAATTTTAGTAATTGAATAGGAAAACAAGAAGATCTATTAAAGGGGTCATGTGTAGGTCAAACATTAATGAGAAAATCTTGAGTCACTGGCTACCATGGTAACAGAGCATTATTGAAATCTGATTAGTATGCCCAGCAGCTACATAAGTGATAGGTTACACTTCTAATTGTGCTGTCTCTGCTTAAAGCCTTTACAGATGAGCTTTATGTTCCTAAGAGGTGAGAGGCTGGTACAGCTCTATTTAACTAGATACCAGATACGGGACATACTACATGATCAGAAATTAAGTCTGAACAGCTAGTAGTGGAGACAAAATTATTTTGAGGATTTCAAAAAGTAAAACATCTTTGGCTACTCTTCTTATTCACTCATGAATATCTGATGATTTGTCTTATTACAAATTCAATTTAATTTCACTGATAGACCAAGCATATAACTAAAATTGCTAAAAATAAAAAGCAGGGGGTATAAAAGCATAAAGAAATCAATAGAGTCATCCAAAGAAAAAAATTACCATTTCATATATTGAAAATTCTGGAAATAATTAGGGTTATCAAAGAGCAATTAGGCCAAAGAGTGCCAGAAAAACTAAGTCTAAGAGTGTATTTAAAATTTAAACCTAATGATGAAGACAAGATAGTTGGAATCTGGGATTGGAACTGACCACAAGCAGATGTGAGCAAAACTTTCTGTCTGTCAGAGTAGTGTATATATCTGTCTAACAATAGCCTTCCATATGCCCTTGGTATTTCAGATATAAAAATTTAATGGATTCTGAAAACTAGAGGGCTCAACTGCCTTTATTTCTGCTGTATTCTCTTTAACATCTTAAATGTCACTGAATGTTTAAAGAAATTGATTACGAAAATCTGATCCTTTTTGGATACATAAGTGTATTCTATAAAGGAAAACCTGTAATATTAAGAGAGGTAAAATAAACAATGACATGTATTATTGACTAGCAATCTGGGTGCCTTGTCAAAGCTTGTGAGTACAGTAGCATTCCTAATGCTTGTCCTGGGAAGTATATTGCTCTTGTTAAACATATCAGCAAGTGGATGAGGTTTCACATGTTCCAAATATCAAACTCAATCCAAAGGCATTATAATGAAAACCCAAGAAGCATTTATTGTTAAAATTTTAAATTCAAGGAGCTGCATAAGGTTGCAAACAAAAGTCTCATTGAAGCCAGAAAAGCACAAAGTTTCATTTACACAAAAATACAAAGTCTTAAAGGTCTATGGTGCAGCATAAAGCATAGAACTAACACTGCCATTTAACAAAATTTAACCTTTACAAGGAGAATAGCCATTTATTGTATTTTAAACATTCTTGTTATAAACATCCTTCTTCTTCTTATCATCTTAAACAAAATAGGTAAAGAAACTAATAGAGTATGGCATGTTTATGGCACTATATTTGCATCCACCTTGTCTTCCATTCTCCTCTAAAATATGTCTATCATCTCCAAAGAGCACTTTTGGAGATGATAGACATATTTATGGTATACAATATGGTGATGGTCTCAAGGATGTGTACTCATCTATACACTTATCAGTCATCAGTATTATTCATACATCTTTTTGTGTATCTAAATAGAGTTCCAGGAAACTAGCAGCAAGAAGAAAGAGTACAGATGTGAGTTGATCGGGAGTTATTAGACTTAACTTCTAGCAATTGTGTGCACTGACCTGGGATGGAAAGAGCAGTCAGAAAGCCAGTCAGTATGCCCCAGTCCATGGAGAAGCACATTGCCTTTGGGAAGCTCCACCATCTTCCACAGATGATCCTCCCCACAGCTGATTAGAAGATTGTCTTGGGGGTGCATTGCAACACTGCATAGGAAAAGAGAAGAGTTAGAGGGAGATAACTAATGATATTTTCACACAATCCATCTGTGGCAATGATTATACCCCTGAGAAGCAAGAGAGTTCATAGACAACAGGTTTGAAAGTCAGAGGAAATCAGTTTCATACCCTGATTGCTATCCAATCACCCTATCTCCTATTGCTGAATCTTACATTCTTCATTTGTCAACTGATCATGTTTAATGTTGGTTTCACCACAATAATTGTGCTTCCTTTATAGTTGTAAATGCTGTGCCATGGTTAATTTGACGTTACGGATTTTGGAAGGGCCACTATGATTAATATGAAAAAATGATCAAAATTCTTTATACAGACCACAGTATATCTTAAATCAGGAATTACTCAGGAAATGATCATGAATCATAGCCACATTATAAGAGCTCTATAATAAAAACTATAAATGAAACATTAACTCCATCTGCACAAAGCAAAGAAGCTCAAATTCTGTGCTAATATAGCTCTTAAATTGACTTTAGTCTATGCACAGTACACAAATTAAAGTGATGAATTCAGGGTGCATATGGCAATCCCCTACTCTCAAATTTCATAGAGAGAAATGAGAAAGAAGTATGCAAAATTAATGATTAACACTTCAAACCATATTATCTGAGTCAGGCTCTGTCATTGTGAGCATTTAAATATTTTAGCTAAACCATTCTAAAGCCAAGAGTCTAGAAGGTTAATACCTGATATTTTATCTACAATAATGCCTTAATCTTATTTATATAGTTTCATCTTTTCCTTACAAGTAACAGGGAAAAGGAGGCCAATGTTAATAACTTACTAAAGTGCCAGTAAAATATTAGAGCAACTAATTATTCAGTTTCAACATAGAAATTTCAAATCAATTATATAGTTTATATAGCTACATAGTACATTTAAATAAATATGGACTTAAAATAATAAATATACAAGTTATTTATTGTATGGTCCATTCTATGGATGATCTTGATTTTAATTTGCAACAGACTTAGGAAATAGTTTTCATATTTCATATTTCATGCTGGGCTGGAGCAATAGCACAGCGGTAGGGTGTTTGCCTTGCATGCAGCCAACATGGTCGACCCGAGTTCGATTCCTCCGCCCCTCTCGGAGAGCCCGGCAAGCTACCCAGAGTATCTCGCCAGCACAGCAGAGCCTGGCAAGCTCCCTGTGATGTATTCGATATGCCAAACACAGTAACAACAAAGTCTCCAATGGAGACATTACTGGGCCCGCTCGAGCAAATCGATGATCAATGGGAGGGCCTTTACTTTTACTTTACTTTATTTAAAGTTGATCTCCACCTATGACTACATGGGAAAGTCCAGAGTTTATTTGAGGGCACAACTGATGGGTCCTTTCCATTAATGTAATTAAATGCCAACAATTTGAAATGAACAAAACATTTTTTGTTATTTATATTTACACAGATTTAGAATTCTTTTAGGGTCAAATACTGAAGAATTCAACTCATGAGTTTGACCACTGAGATCAGGGGTTTCTTTCCAGAGAAACATTGTCTCATTTTTCCTCTAGCATTTTACCGCTCAAAATAAACACAGTAGAAGGGAAATTATTCATTTTTGTAATTTATCATAATTTTTTTTGTGACTTTCAGAAGACCAATTCAGAAAGGGAATTTATTACAGCTCAAACTGGGTAGAGAATACATTTATAGAACTTAATTAGAAGAAGAATATGATGAGAGGTAAAAAAAATATGTCAGATTGAAATGAATTCTATATTCAAATACACATAAGAAGGCAAACCAAATCCTGGAAGCTATTGAATATGATGTATGTTGGCTCACAGATTTCCTGGCAGACTCAGGCACACTTGACTAGATGATAAATTATCCTCTTTAAGTGAAGATAACTAAAATCATTGATGTCTTTACGAACTTTAAAAGATAAGTTTCCAAAATGACTTTTGTTAGGGGAGTTATTTGTATACATTATGGGGAAAACATAAACACACAAATCTATTGGTGACTAATCAGACTTGGAAGTTTTTCCACAAACTATGTTGAGTCTTTCCATATTGGGACTGCCTCTATAACCACCTGCAACTTTGACATTTAATCTTCATGGGCTGAAGCAACTAGTGACATTTTTTTGTTTCTTCACTTGCATATGTTTTTCTTCTGGCAGTGACTCTAATGTTTCATACATATAAGTGACTTTTTCCTAAACTATGACATTTGGTAATTTAAACAATACATTTTATTCCATTCATGAAATGGCCTTTATGGTTATTTATTTATTTATTTTTGTTTGGGGGGCCACACCCAGGAGTGCTGAGAAGTCACTATGCTCAGGAGTCACTCCTGGCAGTTATCAGGGGACCATATTCAGGACAGAGATGAAACTGGAGTTGACCTGTGCAAGGTTAGTGTCTTTACCCTTTATTTTGCTGGTCTCAAAAATAAGTTTTGCTGTAATTTCTTGGTTTTATTTTGTTTATGGGCTAAACCTGGATATATTTAAGACTTACTCTCGGCTCTGTACTCAGGGATCACTCCTGGATGTGCTCAGGTGACCATAGTGTGTATTTGGAGTTGAATCAGGTTAGCTCATGTGAGGTAAGCACCCCACCCATGTTACTCCATAGTATTATATCTTAGCTTTATGAAGTGGTTGTTAAATAGATGAAAATAATAATAGTACAATCATTTTATACTAAACTTAATATTAAATAAAAATGAATTAATAGAAAATTGGGCATAGGATTAAGTGCATCATTAAGATTAGTTCAAGTGATAATGCTTCTCCAATTCTAACTCAGAAAACTCCCCCCGAGAAACAACCAAAATGAGGAACAATCAAAATGAGGACTGGATTAAAGATCACTGGTTAGAAAAATTTTTCCAGATTTTGACTTTCAATGTTATTACCAATCCCATAATGAGATGCTGATACCAGGATTTTTCCTTATTTCTTGTTATCATCATTGCCATCATCATCAACTTCATCATCATCTATTGGTTACCTGGGCTAACATTGTTTGAAAATGTAATGTATACAATAACTTTCATGAAATGCTTAATTCTTGTGAGTAAAATGAAATTTTACATTTTATTTTCTATTAAATTGAAATTATTTTAATATTTATATTCTGTTTTTCATATAGCTGCATTTTCAACATAGTTTTGGTGTGTATAGCTGCATTTTCAATACATAGTTTTAACACAGTTGCTAATCAATGCATGCTTGTCAAATATCTGAATGATTTCAGTACTGTTTGTTTTTTTGTGACTGAGTGAATGAAGCTGAGATATTATGTAAATAGCTCGAGTTCACACTTGTTAATGGATTGAAGCTAACTTTGAATTCAGAATGGACTGACTTTGAGAATAATGGTTCTAGTTACTTATATTTAGTATTAATCTTTCATAGTTTGTTATTTATTTGTGTACATTATAAACATCAATAACTCCTAGCATAGAGATTGGAGATAATTATTATCAATCCTAGGAAGTACTAAAGATTAGTCATTGTTAAACCCAGAGTGTAAAGATCATTCAGGGATTGTCAGTTTATATATTGGGGTGTACCAGTACCACAAGAGTCTTAAAGAAATTAGACATTGCTTAATTTTATTTTATATTTACTTTGGGGTCATACCTAAGTGTGTTCAGGCCTGACTCCTTCTCTGTTCTCAGGGATCTCTCCTGGTTGTGCTTGGGGTACAATATGAGTTATCAGTATAGAACCTGGATGGGTTGCAAGAATAGAAGTTCCTTATCTACAATACTACCTTTGTGGCCTTGATTCCATAAGGATTTAATTCGTTTAGAACTTAGGCATCACACTCAAACCTCAATTTTATTATTCTGTGTATCTCTTCAGCTTTTTAATAAAATTAAAAGAAAAAATAATTTATAGGAATCAGTTTTGAATCCTAAATTTAACTATGTATAAATATTTATTGGTTGTATAAATGGCTATATATTGGCCCTTGTATAGCAGATATACTATTATAATAGACTTGCTGCAAATGGGTAGCTAGAACACAAACAAGTTAAGTCATCTGTTGAAGGTCATGAAGCACTGAAGCGGCAGAGTAGGGCACAAATTTAAACAATTGTCTCTAGGGTGTGTGTCTACGAGGAGAGAAAGTTTAGAACCTCAAATTTATTTTTCTTGTCTGGGTGATAATGGGAACAGATTCAAGGTAAATGCTGCCCTATTTTTGACTAAGAATTTACCGAGATGCATAATGAAGTTTCTAAAGGACTGAATTCTTTTTATTCTCTGATGATGCCTAAAAAATGATAAGTATCATTCCCTTATTAGATTTTGGGAGTTAAAATATTCTTAGATATTGATCTATGAAGGGATGGATCAGAAATAATTGAAAAGAAATATTTATGGTTTAAATCAGAAACTAGAACACTTTTTTCATAAAAAGGCAGATAATAAACTTCTAGGCTTACAGACTATATGTTCTCAGTCATAACAATTAAGCCTGTTGTAGTATTGAAGTTGTAATAGATAAAAGATGAATGAAAGCTGTGATCTTGAAAAATTAATTTATAAAACCATGTGCTTTGATCTTAATAATTGACTATCTCTGTTCTTATGTCTTTATATTGCACGGGATAGAATTATTCTACAATGACTTGTAAATGGATTATCCTAGAATAAAATAAGTCTAAACCCTTGACTATGTTTACTTTCCAGGTGTCATTGGTTCAGTTGCTTCACTGTCTTTTTTATTTGTTTACTTTAGGTCTTTATCTGAAAATGAAAAGATAATATAGGGAAAACAGAGGTTTGTTTTGGATTAAATATGATTAATACATAGTGGTGAAAGCTTAGTGAATATTACTATAGTGCAGAAAGACAACCTGACTAGATTTGGATACTGCCTTATGATTCATTTCTGAGCTACTAACATTGTACAATGTCAACTTCAGTGTTGTCAGTATTTGTGAACAGGAGAAAACAATAAAGACTGATTCACATACATTTTCTGTTGTGTGC